CCGGGCGCGCGCCGCGGGCCGGGGCACCGCAGGCTCCCTCTGGTGTCCCCTCGCTGGCGTCCCTCCTGGACCCTCGCTCCCTCTCCAAGAGCAGAACCCCAAACGTCCAGGGACCGCAGTTGAGAGATCTCAGCTCGGAGCAGGGCACCACGGGCTCTGGGCCCATCCTGGTGTCTGGTTCCCTATTAGAACCGGACACCAAGTAACATGCGAGATAAGATGTTGACCGCAGATGCAAGGCTACTTCGGCGTGGAAATACTGGCAAGCGATGATGTTGGTGCCTACTACACTTTGATAAACTTGATGCCCTCAGATTGGATCAGGAACCAATAGGTTTTCACTAAGCCTTACCTTGGGCACTTTACTACAATCATTTCACTTTTACTGAATTTCCTAACAAACGAAGAACTAGAATTGACTCAGATGAAAAATGCAATTCTACTGCACTTCTGAGCGCAACAGTAGATTCTGAATAGTGTATGTGAAATGTCTTGGTTTTAATAACGTAAAAATAGCTACTCTTTTAAATGTTCTGGGTGAGGTGGGTTATTTTTACTTTAAAAAGATAGTCATTTAGGTTTATAAAAACATCTCCACAAGACCCTAATACCTTATGAATGCGCTACAGGAAACAGGCATAAAAAAGGTCTATCTGCATCGGTTCATAAATACCTTTTTTGTTCTTATATAAAATCCTCCTAAATCACTGGAGATTATTTTAAAGACTAGATTGGAGCTCCACAACAACCCAATACATAAAAAGGGCCAATCCAGTGTACGCCAGAGTCCGCCCATTGGGGTAACTCCTGGCTCCAGGCTTTGCGCAGGGCCCGTCACTCAAGTGACGCGCGGCCCCGCCCCTGTACCAAGCTAGTTCGACGCGTACAAACAGATGATGTCATTGTATCCCCACGCGCGTGACCCAAGAGCTCTGCGCTGCGCCGCCATTCGCTGCGCCGCTTACCCGTCAAGCCACGTAGCGCGCTGACTGGCCACGGCCAGCAATCTCCAGGCCCCAGACGCCCCTCTCCGCCCCCCGCCCCCGCCCCCCTAGCAAATAATAAACAATCGAGTAAAATTTTAAGGCTGGCAGCAGGGGTAGGAGAAGAGGAGAAAGAAAGAGCCTGAAGCCAAGTCTTCGAGTGCAGTTGGAGGAAGAGTTAAGAGGGGGTGGGTGTGCGTGGTCGTGGGAGCAGAGTTGGGAGGAGAGGAGGGAGCCGATCTGGGGCGACGGGTCCCACTGCGGTGTGGAGTCACTGGGGGTGGAAAGTTGGAGCGCATTGGATGTGTGCGTCTGTAAGTACAGGGGGCGCTAGGGCCCTGGAGCTCCTGGGCGATGGGCTGCCCGCGGCCTACGGAGGGGGAGGAGACCGAGCGCTACAGGGGCGGCGCGGGCGGAGTCGGCCGACACGTGCGGGAGGGCGGCGGGCGCGCGCCTCACTGGCTTAGCCTTGGGCGCGCGGCCTCGTCAGGCGCGCGCGCTTGTTTACCAGCGCACGTGGGTGTTATTTTTAAATGGAATGTTGTGTTGGCTGCGCGGCGGAGTGGCGGGCGCGTGGGGCTGTCTGTGCCGAATAGGGGACTCGGCGGGGCCAGCTCTCCAGGCCGCGAAGCTGTTGCCCGTTTTGCATTTCCAGCGAAGCTAGAGGCCTGCGTTGGAGAGCCTGGCACTGAGTTCCGCGTGCTGCCCAGGCAGCCGCGGAGACGACGTGCTCACGCCGCGGCACATGCATTTGGGGTGACTGAGCTGCCGCATTCACATTTTGGAAACAAAGCCCACTCCTTTAAAGGCTTTGTGCTTGAGGCCGCACCAAACACGGTACTGAGCGGTTAATGGTTCCTGGGAGCAGATCTTGCTTGCACAATTACTGCCTAGTGCATACACTCGTGTGTCCTGGGGAACCCTGAACCCTACGTGGCCTGTACCCTCACTTCCTTGTTCCTACTATTCCCAGTGCACATGTGCTCATACCGTGGACATATGACTGCGTACTTTCTAATGTGCACCTGGATACTTCCCAGGAATAAGGCTCAGAGGTAGCAACTGTGAGGCTCAGCTCTCCTTGTGGGATGCATCCAAAGGCATGATCTGCATTTGGTTTATGGCCTATTAGTGTGAACTGTGATATGCAACCCTACATGAGGTGATCTTCAGTTCAGAACATATTACCTAGTGTCTCGATTTTGCTTTGCAGAAAGAATCAGGAGGTTAGACTATCCACGATTTTGCACCAGTGATACAGCATAAAATCCAAGTTATGTTCAGATGCTTGTTTAAAATTGTTAATGCACTAAAAGAAACCCACACTTTATCGTCTTCAAATCAGAGCAATCCTTTGCCAGCAGAATACAAGTCTGCAAAAGAATGTGTTTACACTGGCCAGGCTTTCGGCATTCGACTTTCACTGTAAACATGTTGAGTGCCCATTTATAGAATGCATATCCCAAGGATGTTTTTTAAATGAAAGATTCCATAGATAGAACATGTTTATGTATTGAGTGTGTTATAACCCCATAGTGGTGGGTGGGAGCCAGAACATGACAGTCAGCCATTTCCCTCAAAGAGCTTACAGTCTTGGTTGGAAGGATAAACATTTTCTAAGTTAAATATTTCACAGGTGTTAAAGCAGTATAAGGCAGCGCAAGAGATCATATGTTGGGTAAGTTGTGAATGAGAATCAAAACTTCAAACAATGACTAATAAACACTGAGCTTTATTAAATATTACTGTTTTGTTGTGATTTTAATGCAAGTTTATATAAAAATTGGATTTCCATTCATTCATTGTTGCATTTTACTCCCTGCCCACCCTCACCCCTAGTCCACTTTTCTCTTTGCAAAAAATTCTTTCATTGTTGTACAGTTCCCCCACATCAGTCCACTTAACTATGCAGCTCTTATTCTAGACTGTTGGCATGCAAATAATCCCTAATAATATATTCCTTTTAAGCAGTTCTTTCCCTCATCTGTTTCAATGCCGTGTACATTATTTATCCCTTCTTTTCTTAGTCTCCCCAACCCCAATTTCAGTCCTGTTTTATAACAATGGCATTATGCACTGTTTGTCTTTTTGTGACTGAGATATTTCACTCAGCATAATGTCCTCCAGGGTCACCCATATTTTATAATATTTCCTTAGTTCCTTGTTTTTCAATGCTGCATAGTATTCCATTGTATGAATATACCACAGCTTCTCTATTCATTCGTTGATGAGCTCTTAGGTTGTTTCCATCTCTTTGCTATTGTAAACAATGCAATGATGAACTTGGGTGTGCATGTATCTGCTTGGGTAGCAGTTCTGGTTTCTTTAGAGTATATTCCCAGTAGTAGAGTTGCTGGATCAAATGGTATTTCTATTTCCAACTTTCTGAGAAAGGGCCATACTGCCTTCCAGAGTGGTTGCACCATTTTACACTCCCACCAACAGTGAATAAAGGTTTTGCTGCTCTGTTGAATTTTGCTATTGTTACTAGGGTAAGATGATATCTCATAGTTGTTTTAATTTGCATCTCTCTTCGACCTAGGAATTTTAAACATTTCTTCATGTGTTTGTTCGCTATCTGAATGTCTTCTTTGGTGAAGTGCACTGAGCTTTTTAAAAAAATTTTTTTAAATTTTTATTAAATTTTATTAATCTTAATGAACATGGACAGAGATTTTGGTGCCTCACCTAAAGATTTTGCACTTGTGCTTTTTTCCCAGTGAGCAAAACTTTTAGGATGTTTATATCTTTTCTAAAAGGATTGTTTCTTGGCCTGAAATCACCTTCATTTTGCTTTTCAGTTGTAGGTCTCCTTAGTTCTTTTTCTTCCTTTTTCTTTAAGCTAAATTTTCACTTTGGGAATGCTCAGTAAGTTAGGGTTGTTGTTTGAAGAAGAAATAAAGGTGAATACCAGCATTACCTTTGAGGTAAAATTTCTGGTGGAAACCTTCCTCACTTTTTATTGATTAAATATCTCTCTACAGTTTGAGGTGATCAGTGGGGAAACAACAGTTTAACCTATTTTGCCAGAATAAGCTGAGTAAGTTCGCCATCACAGACACCTAGCTGTGAAGGTTGGTGGCAGATGCCAGGACCTCCCTCAGAGAACATTGCCAACACATCACAGCTCTTGCTCCACTCATGTTCTTCTTAGACTTAGGTCAGTTAGATCTTGCCTCTGACTCCAGAGCCCAGAGTGTCGGCCTAAACATAGTTCCTCTGGAGAAGTGCTCTTTTTCCTGTTGGATCAGCACCTTTGTTCATCTTAAAAACAAATGGAAGAAACACAAATATAATACAAGCGTTTTAACAAGCGTATGATTCAACAGAAAGATTCAACTCCAACACTCAGGTCTGAGCACACTCCCCATCCTTTTCCTGATGTCCTCATTAGTCCCTTCAGCTGCCATATGGAACGCTTACTGTATTTACTGAACACTTAATACCAAAGTTGACATCTACCACCAGCTCTGAGGAAGAAAAATGGGCAATTTCTCCTTCATAACTTTGGAAACCCAATGGAGGGTCAGCTTTGAGTCAGTTAAAATTCTATAGGAATCAGGGGACTTTTAGTAGGATTGAGTTAAATGAGATTATGAACCAAACATATTTAAGATTAGAATATCCTGGGTAAGGGATGCTTTTAAAAATAGTGATGCCCAGGCTCCGTCTAGGATTGAATAAATTAGGATCTCTGGGGGTGGGGCCAGGAAAATTAATGCAGTGAGGTTGTAACATTGAGTTCCTGAGCTGCCTTCTGCACTGCAGTGTTTGTCTTCAGC